TGCCTGCTCGTCCAACAATCTTAGTAGCTGGCTGTTTTGGTGCCTGCTCGTCCAACAATCTTAGTAGCTGGCTGTTTTGGTGCCTGCTCGTCCAACAATCTTAGTAGCTGGCTGTTTTGGTGCCTGCTCGTCCAACAATCTTACTAGCAAAAACAGCCAGGGAAGTGATTGAAGCCTGGGAAACAGGCCCTTCATTGGTTAACAGGCATGCTGATTTACCACCAGCCTTTCAAGTACTTAGGAGGCGGGGGCTTGGCAGCACAAGCAAACGACAGCCAACGACTTAAAAGCCAGCCATCAACGCACCCCAATCTGCATCTAAAAAGCCGGATACAACAGGCATCACATATATACCCCACAGAGAACAGCACACATTCTGCTAAAGAGACATTCCCGGGAGACGTGTTCCAGCACAAGTCCGAAAGCTCGTAAGATGAAATCTCTGGTCCCAGCGACTGCTCCTGCAACATTATCCGGGGATACGTGGATTCGCTACCACTCGTGTCCACGGATTGTTCCGTGAATGACGGAGAGCTTGGAGGTGTCTTACCTTGCCTGCCGCAAAAAGATGGCAGCCTTTCACGGCTTCAAAAACATTGGGCGAGACGTCAGGTTGAGCCGGGAGGTGGGACTGAGCGAGGGACTGCTTCACTTTTTTCACATCCACAAGGCACAGCGCCCTTTCGTCTCCTGGGGAAACCATGCCACGGAGAGAGAGAATTCCTTTATTGGCCAAGTGTGATTGGAGACACTAGAGATTTGTCTCTGGTTCTTAAGCTCTCAGTGTACATACAAGCCAGAAGTGGTAAATCAGGACTGTGATCGTAAGGGGTGGGGGCAGCAGAGATATATTTTCTGGCGAGTCTTGCATTGAAAGCGAAGCAGTGGTGGGTTGCAGGCAGTACGCCCCAGGTACCGTTCCAGTACGGTGCTCCGGAGGGCTCACCCGCCAGCCCGTCCTCCTTAACTGCATTTGAGCCTCTTTGGCGCTTTCGCGCATACGGTGCCTGTGTGACGCTCCGCCGAGCAGCTGGAGCGCCGCAGAAGCTCGCGGAGGGGTCACAAGAGGCAAGGACGCATGTGCGCGCTGTGCGCGTTCATGTGGTGGACGCCGGGCCCCGCTGCACCGTACCGGTTGCAATGTGATCCGGAACCCACCACTGAAGTGAGGGCATCCATTCCATTCCATTTATTAGACTTGTATGCCGCCCTATTCCCCGGAGGGACTCAGGGCGGCGAACAGACATATGGGAAAGGGGACATTACAAAAAATGAACGAAACAAGACAGAATACTCTGGGTCCGATTTTGGCTGTTTTAATTTAAAATGCACATTTCTTTAGAATGAAGTAATTGTGAGTCCCTTGCAAAAAACACTGTGTGTGTGTGTGTGTGTGTGTGTGTGTGTGTGTGTGTGTGTCTCTTTCATCCCGTACTAGATGGATGGCAGCACCCCAATTTTGCAGACAGGGAACAGCTGCCACCTCGTGCTTGCTTTATGCTTCGCTGCTATGCGGTGAGAGTCTGTCCCGAACGATGGAGCCGGGTGATGGAGAGGGGAATGTTTGGGAAATGAAAAGTAAGCGCTGGGCCTCCTTGAGGAGCTGCTTCAAGGCCGCCCAGGTGGAAGGAGGGAGCT